TCAGGGATCACACTCAGGGATCACACTCAGGGATCACACTCAGAGATCACTCAGGGATCTTAAAGTAAAATCATTATCAGAACATCTGTTAACGTCTCTGACCTTAAAGGCAAACTTTCGGGTGATGTTGTCGGACAGCTCCACTCCTCCGACTCTGAAACTCAGCAGAGGTAGACTCCCTAACACGGACTCCTCCTTCTCATCTGTGGACGAGAGACCAGAGTGAGACACGGGCACAGGTTTAAGAAGAAGACGAAGAAGATGAGGAGGAGGAGAAGACGAGGAAGAGAAGAGAAGGAGAAGAAGATGAGGAACAGGAGGAGAAGAAGGAGAAGAGGACGAGGAGAAGACGAGGAAGAGAAGAGAAGGAGAAGAAGATGAGGAACAGGAGAAGAAGAAGAAGAAGGAGAAGAGGAGGAGGAGGAACAGAAGAAGAAGAAGAGAAGGAGGAAAAGAAGAAGATGAGGGGGAACAGGAGAAGGAGAAGACTAAGAACAGGAGAAGAAGATGAAGAAGAAGAGTAGAAGGAGTGTGCTGCAGAGAGATGAAGAGGAGCAGAGAGGAGCTGCTCCCACAGTGACAGACTCCCAGAATAGACTTCCATTATGGTTGGAGGGTCCCTGTGATAAGCAGCAGTAATGGCTCACACACTCACACTCACACTCACACAGAGCAGGGTCCAGCGGTGATAAATAGAAACACAGAAGAAGGAGAGCAGCAGCGGTGCGGTCTAAATAATGGAAGCAAACATGAAAATTTGATCATTGGAAAAAGGATCCTCTCGTCTCTCTGTGACCTCCTACCTCCTCTCTGCTTGACAGGGCTCTGCACCGACTCGCTGCTCGCTCGCACAGGGTGCGTGTGTGTTTGTGTGTGAGAGAGAAAGAGTGAGAGAGGGAGAGAGAGAGAGAGAGAGCGAACAAGGAGCAGAGAGAGAGGGAGGGAGATCTGAGGGAGGGGGAAGGGCTTGTGCAATCATACAATACACTGATCCCTGCTCTGTGTGTGTGTGTGTGTGTGTGTGTGTGTGTGTGTGTGTGTGCGTGCGTGCGTGCGTGCGTGCGTGCGTGCGTGCGTGCGTGCGTGCGTGCGCGTGTGTGTGTGCGTGCGTGCGTGTGTGTGTGTGTGTGTGTGTGTACAGATAATGATCAGACCATGTGACTCAGTGTTGCAGGAATCTCGGCCTGCAGCCAACTGTACCTGCTGCTCGTCTGCACCAATCAGACGCTCACACACACATTATGAGACAGCAGGTAAACAGTCACACCTCTCTCCCTCTCTCTCAATTTCTCTCTCTCTCTCCCTCTCTCTCTCTCTCTCTCTCTCTTTCTCTGTCTCTCTCTCTCTCTCTCCCTCTCTCTCTATTTGTTGTTTGTAAACACAGTTTGTTAATTAGTAAACATGTGAGTTGTCAATGATGACCCAAATCTTCCGTTTCTAGGTTGAGTTTGATCCACCTGAGACGTCAGCTCTAAAAATACTGCCTGTGTATCACTTTATTACGATGTGTTCTAATCAGGCAGCGCCCTCTGGTGGACGGTGGTGTAACTACATGAGTCGTGGGATATATAAAGAAGTACTAGAGATCGATTCAATCATTTCATGGTGATTCTATTTGAAACGCTTTGCTTTAATTATTACTACTTCTGTTCGCTCACCCGACGCCTTTCTGTCACCACCTGGTGGTGCTGTTCTGTGTTTCCCTCCAGCTGATTCTGTGATGTCATCCTGACGTCGACCTTAAACGGGTCATTAATGTGCCTTGTTTATGTGCACAGAAAGCAACCACCAGCCTGCAACTACACAGAGCCACAGCAATGCAACTGAAACAGGGCAATGCAACTAAACTATATGCAACTGTGGGGGCGGCTGTGGCTCAGTGTCCTTGAGCAAGACACTTAACCCTATCTCTCCCTCTTTCTCTCTCTCCCTCTCTTCCTCTCTCTCTCCCTCTCTCCCTCTCTCCCTCTCTTCCTCTCTCTTTCTCTCTCTCCCTCTCTTCCTCTCTCTCTCCCTTTCTCCCTCTCTCCCTCTCTCCCTCTCTCTCTCTCTCCCACTCCCTCTCTCTCCCTCTCCCTCTCTCTCTATCTCAAACACAGCTGGGCGACCGAGAAGAAGGAACATGGACGTGTTCAGAATAGAGAGGCACGGCGAGCTGACAGGGAGGCAGCAGATAAATAAAGAGAGAGAGAAAGGAGCTGCCTGTTTGATCGCCCAATAACCACGATGTTCACCTGACTGCTTCTGCTCCTCGGAGACTGGCTGAACACAAAGTGCGCTCAGGCAGAACACGCCGAGGTTTGTTGTCTGCTGGCTGAACTTCTCTTCGGAAAACTCTGGATTTACTGCTGAGGGTTATTCAAGGCTTTTCAAGGTCATTCCAGGCTGCAGTCAACAACAAGTCTCTGACAGAGTAACCACAGAGCAGCTAATGCTAGGACATCAAGGACAGGATAAAATACACTACAATCTCCAATCACAGCTCAATTTCTCATTTAAAAATAGTTAGGCTTTCATTTTGAAGTGTTGTACTGTCTAAAGCTGAGAATACTTTACTTCCTGTGTGCTTTTATTTGGAAATAAAGTAAGGCCCTTCCTGTGGAGTGAAGGTCAGGGATGTGGTTAGGGATCCCAAAGTGAGGTCAAACAGCTCAAAGGAACGGTAACAAAGGTCAATGTGTGATGTCATAAGGTCAATGTGTGATGTCATAAGGTGGATATTACTTTGGACTCATCAGCTGAACTGTCTGAGAGTTTGTTAAAGTGAAATGAGACATTCAAAGATGCAGCAGTGTCCTTCTTTTACATCACTGAGACTACAGGGAGACACTGAGGACGAGTATTGTCCTGAAGTCTGAGACACTCTGACAGCTTTAAAGTTCTTGTCCTGAGCTGCTGCCTGCGTGAGAGAGAAGAGCCCGACTGCAGCGCAAAGTTAGTTCACTGACCCATTAATGATCCTCTGAACAACACACACACACACACACACACACACACACAAACACAGACAGACACACACAGACACACACACATACACACACACAAACACACACACAAGCACACGCACACACATACACACACAAACAGAGAAACATACAAAAAGACAGGAGGAGAGCTTTAGAGAACTGCTGAAACTCTGCACAGAGACACAGAGTGACTTCACAAGATCCTGTTATAATGAGCAGCAGTGATTTATAGGAGAACTGATGATAAATGAAATCCTCAAAGAGCGGAGAGAGAGAAAGAGAGAGACAGAGAGATTGAGATTAAGAACACAGCTCATCATTATTAAACATAAACCCAAGATGATGGAGTACAGACCTTTGTAGTAGAACAGGCATCTGTCTGAGAGGATGAACCACCGCTTGTTCCACTGCTTCACTCCACTACTCGCCTGGATGGACAGAAGATCAACAATCAAACCACCAATCAATAAACTAACCAACCAACCAACCAACTAAACAATCATCCAACCAACTAGCCAACCAACCAATAAACCAACCAACCAACCCATCATCCAACCAATCATCCGATCAACCAACCAACCCATCATCTAACCAATCATCCAATCATCCAATCAACCAACCAACCAACCAATCAACCAATAAACCAATCAACCAACCAACCAACCAACCATCCAATCAATCAACCAACCAACCAACCAACCAACCAACCCATCATCCAACCAATCATCCAATCAACCAACCAATAAACCATCCAAGCAACCAAGCAACCAATCATCCAATCATCCAATCAACCAACCAACCAACCAACCAAACAAACAAACAATAAATCAAGCAACCAAGCAACCAATCATCCAATCATCCAATCAACCAACCATCCAACCAACCAACCAACCAACCAACCAACCAATCAACCAACCATCCAACCAACCAACCAACCAACCAACCAACCAATCAACCAACCATCAAATCAACCAACCAACCCATCATCTAACCAATCATCCAATCATCCAATCATCCAATCAACCAACCAACCAATCAACCAATAAACCAACCAATCAACCAACCAACCAACCAACCAACCATCCAATCAACCAACCAACCAACCAACCAACTATCCAATCAATCAACCAATCAACCAACCAACCAAACAAACAAACAATAAACCAACAACCAAGCAACCAATCATCCAATCATCCAACCAACCAACCAACCAACCAACCAACCAACCGATCACCCAATCATCCAATCAACCAACCAACCAACCAACCAAGCAACCAACGAATAAACCAACCAACCAACCAACAAATAAACCAAGCAACCAACTAACCAACAAACCAACCACCAACCAATCAACCAATAAACCAACCAACCAACCAACTAACCCATCATCCAACCAATCATCCAATCATCCAATCATCCAATCAACCAACCAACCAACCAATAAACCAACCAACCAACCAGCCAATCAACCAACCAACCCATCATCCAACCAATCATCCAATCAACCAACCAAGTAACCAACCAACAAACCAACCAACAAACCAACCAACCAACCAACACACCAACCAATCATCCAATCAACCAACCAACTAATCAATCATGCAATCAACGCACCAAACAAACAATTAATCACTCAATCGACCTGAATGAATGTCGGCCTATAGATTGAATGTTTCACCTGTTTGTACAGCCAGCCCTGTTTGGCCACCACTGCTTTGGGGTTCCTCCTCATTGAGTTTGAGCGCTTACCGAAAGTCGCCGCCTTCCTTGGAGTACGAGACGTCTGCAGTATAAGAGAAGAAGAAGAAGATTAGGCTGAGAGTCATTAAAGGTATGTATTTAATAAACTTATATATCTCCATCCTTATAGTGAAGGTAATGATGTATGTGTGTGTGTGTGTGTGTGTGTGTGTGTGTGTGTGTGTGTGTGTGTGTGTGTGTGTGTGTGTGTCTGCTCACCCGTGTGTAGGTGTGTCCCTCTGGACTCAGCTCAGACACCATGTTGCCACTTTTAGAGTGAGGGATTCTCTCAGAGTTGATCTTCCCGTTCATGTCACAACACCTGCACACGCACATGCACACACACACACACACACACACACACACACACACACACACACACACACACACACACACACACACACAAACAGAGAGAGAGAGAGAGAGGCCTCCATCAGCAGGACAGACCTGTGAACATTTACCTAACGATGACATCTAGTGGTGATGGTGGTGTTAGGGAATGATGACACACACCTGCCTCTTCATGAACTCACACTGAACGTAACACACACTGAACGTTACACACTCTGAACGTTACACACTCTGAACGTTATACACTCTGATCGTAACACACTCTGATCGTTACACACTCTGAACGTTACACACACTGAACGTTACACACTCTGAACGTTATCAATCTGAACGTTACAAACTGAACGTTACACACACTGAACGTTACACACACTGAACGTTACACACTCTGAACGTTATCAATCTGAACGTTACAAACTGAACGTTACACACACTGAACGTTACACACTCTGAATGTTACACACTCTGAATGTTACACACTCTGAATGTTACAAACTGAACGTTACACACTCTGAACATTACACACTCTGAATGTTACACACTCTGAATGTTACACACTCTGAACGTTATACACTAACCTGAGCAGCATCATTTCAACAGATATAAATGCTCTCTGATAAATAACCTCACTGAGTGTTTTTTTCGGTGTTAAAGGATAAATACAGGCTCATGTGACCAGTGTGTACTGGCAGAGGTCAAGTGTGTGTGTGTGTGTGTGTGGTTCGTATGAACTCACTGCAGGTAGGAGTGTACAGGTGTCAGGTCCTCCAGCTGGATCGAACTCACAGGTCCAGCTGGTCCACGGGGGTCATGTTGACTGAGAGAGAGAGAGAGAGAATCAGGTTTAATCATGTATCTGTAGCTAGCCCTCAGTGTCTCTGAGGAGGCTGTCGGTTTTCACTCTCAGGTTAGAACCTCTAAAAAATATTAAAATGATCATCGTTAGTTATATATATTAATATATTATAACACAATAACATGTTCATCCTTTATAATGAGTATCAAACACTCTGCTCTGTCACTGATGACATCATCACACCATCAGCTAATGCCTGAGGAGCTACAGCTGTCCCTCTTCAGTCTTAAACTCCTGCAGGCTGCGGAATCACACACAGCTGGACCAAGTCTTGCATGAGGCCTCACACACAACACACACACACACACACACACACACACACACACACACACACACACACACACACACACACACACACACACACACACACACACACACACACACACACACACACACACTGCCTTGACACCAATGTCTCGTTTCCCATTCCGACAAGAAAGATCAAATGAGAACTACAAGATCACAGGAGAACTACAAGAACCCAGGAGAACTACAAGAACCCAGGAGAACTACAAGAACCCAGGGAAATTACAAGATCAGAGAACTACAAAAACCCAGGAGAACTACAAGAACCCAGGAGAACTACAAGATCACAGAGAACTACAAGAACCCAGGAGAACTACAAGAACACAGGAGAACTACAAGAACCCAGGAGAACTACAAGAACCCAGGGAAACTACAAGATCACAGAGAACTACAAGAACCCAGAGGAACTACAAGAACACAGGAGAACTACAAGAACCCAGGAGAACTACAAGAACCCAGGAGAACTACAAGATCACAGAAAACTACAAGAACCCAGGAGAACTACAAGAACACAGGAGAACTATAAGAACCCAGGAGAACTACAAGATCACAGAGAACTACAAGAACCCAGAAGAACTACAAGATCATAGGAGAACTACAAGATCACAGGAGAACTACAAGAACCCAGGAGAACTACAAGAACCCAGAAGAACTACAAGATCATAGGAGAACTACAAGATCATAGGAGAACTACAAGATCACAGGAGAACTACAAGAACCCAGGAGAACTACAAGCTCTAGAGTGGGCGCCATCAGGCGCATAGCCAGACTTTTCTGACTATAGCGGATAGACCAGGCGGCTGACTGCATGTTAGACAGTGTTCAGGAGTTTACCTTTAAGTTTCGCAGCTGTCTTATCAAACGGATGTTCAAACCGTGTGTGTATGTGTGTGTGTGTGTGTGTGTGTGTGTGTGTGTGTGTGTGTGTGTGTGTGTGTGTGTGTGTGTGTGTGTGCGTGTGTGTGTGTTGTGTGTGAGACATCCTGCACACACACCCACACACACACACACACACACACACACACACACACAGTGTTCTCGTGACAGTGTTCTCTGCTCAGTGATAACCTACAAACCCACATAGAGACAGCTGCAGGACACACACACACACACACACACACATACACACAGCTGTAGCAGATGTTTAATATAAACAGTTCCAGTTATTTTCTGCTCCGGTTTCCACCAAGGAGTAAGAACAGCATCATAGCCTGTTTATAATAGATGGAGGTTACCATGGTGGTTTGACCTACTGATGCAGGCTATCAAACTGAGTGTGAAAGTGCAGCTCCATCAGTATGAGAGTGCAGCTCCGTCAGTGTGAGAGTGCAGCTCCGTCAGTATGAGAGTGCAGCTCCGTCAGTGTGAGAGTGCAGCTCCGTCAGTGTGAGAGTGCAGCTCCATCAGTGTGAGAGTGCATCTCCGTCAGTGTGAGAGTGCAGCTCCGTCAGTGTGAGAGTGCAGCTCCATCAGTGTGAGAGTGCAGCTCCGTCAGTGTGAAGCTCCGTCAGTGTGAGAGTGCATCTCCATCAGTATGAGAGTGCAGCTCCATCAGTGTGAGAGTGCAGCTCTGTCAGTGTGAAGCTCCGTCAGTGTGAGAGTGCAGCTCCTTCAGAGTGAGAGTGCAGCTCCATCAGTGTGAGAGTGCAGCTCCATCAGAGGAAGCTGCAGATAGCTTCTCTCCAACCTCACACACTAAAAAAGAGCTAACTGTGTTTGTATCTGAAGATCATTAGAGCTATATCCTTTGAGAGTTAGATTCAGAGACGAAGCAGAGAGAGGGAGAACATGAGGAACCAGTTATGGAGATATGAGACATTGTGATCTTTCTTAGAGAATCAGGTGCTCTGTCTTCTCATAACAACCTGAGGAGTCGCCACCTGCTGGACATTACCAACAACGCAGATAGAAATAAACTTCAATCAGAGAAGCTAGAAACACTTCTACTGTGCAGTCTAAAGAACAAACATTGATGTCCAACAACAAATCCTCCTCCTCAGGTAGCTGAAAAGAATAATTAATCTCCATCTCCAAAAGATGAAAAAAAAAACAATCTCACAGACAGCTGATGTTTCCTGAACAAACCACAGAGACCACAGACACAATCAATACTACATGCTGCTGATTTAGCTCTGCACCACTGTACACACACACACACACACACACACACACACACACACACACACACAGAGATACACACACACACACACACACACACACACACACACACATACATCAGTGTAGATAAAACACAGCAGGGATTACAGCTCCCTGTGTTTCCTGCTGGCACTGCAATGCAGTCATCTCTGACCTCCAGCTCCCTCCGTCCACTCCTCCTGCCCTCCTCCTCCTGCTCCTCATCTTCTCCTATCACCAGCCCTACATGTCTCCTCCTCCTCCCTCCCTCCCTCCACCTACCTGACTCTCCTGTCCACACGGAACTTCAACATCCTCCCCGTGATCCAACATGAACCAGCAGCACCGAGACCGGACGTACAGACAGAGAGAGAGAGAGAGATGGAGGGATGTAAGGAGGATAGATGGAAGAATGAGGAACGAGGAAAGGACTTATGGAGGAGAGATGGAGGGATGAGAGGGGAGGAACAGACTTATGGAGGAGAAATGGATTTATGGAGGAGAGAGAAGGAGGAGGGATGATCAGAGAGTGAAAGGAGGAGGAGAGTATCTGGACAGATGGACGAGGAGAGAGATGCACACCTCTGGTCTCTCCTCTCTCCTTCACACTGACTCTCTCTGTTTCCCCACCTGTCTCCCCCTCCTCCCTCTCTCTCTCTCTCTCTCTCTCTCCCTCCCTCTCTCTCTCTCAGGTTGAGAACTGCAGCTCTCAGCTGATTCGGTCTCTTCGGTCTGGGTGATTTACGCTCCGTCTCTGTCACTGTCTCTCTCTCTCTGTTTATTACATTTGCTGACAAACGCTCTCTCTCTCTCTCAGCCCCCTCACCCCGTCTCTCTATCTCTCCATCCAGTCTCCTATCTTCATGATCTGACTCGGGTTGCATGCTGTTTCCTCACAGTCTTTATAAAACCTTAGTGTTCTCATGAATCAGCCCACAGATAGAAACCTTCAAAAAAGCTGCAGTTCCTCCAGTGTCCACTAGAGTCTGTCTCCTGCAGTGAGTCAGTCCCCATAGACTCCCATGTTAAAATAAACATGTTTACAGCCTGGTATAAAAACAGTTCGGGTCTCTAGAGCTCATTTCTCTCTTCAACTGTACAGGCTGAATGTTTATACAACTCACGTTTACATTATAGTCAGGCTTGAAGTGATGTAGAATTAGGGGCGTGGCCTCTTTGAGTGACAGGTGGGACCTGTTAGCTGTCTTCTAGGTGTCACCTCAGCCCATTCAGTCCCTGACCTTTAACCCTGTTTAACTAGTCTGTGAAGAAAAAGCTTTCCTTTGATAAACACTGGGATGTTTTGAAACCTTTAAAACCTGAGCAGAGATTGAACAGTTAGCATGTCTGATATCTCTGAGCTCTAACGAGTGCTGAGACGGAGTGAGACTGCTGTAACTGATCACAGTGACCACATCAGCTCTGAGTCAGATCCACCAGCTGATCAATACCTGTGAAACTGATACACCAACCACGCCTCCATCGCTACGACAACAAGCTGATCAATACCTGTGAATCTGATACACTGACCCCGCCTCCATCGCTATGACAAGCTTTTCAAACGCCACATCAAATATGCATTATGCATTCTTCTTTAAAGAAACAGTTTCCCGTTTTGAAAGATGCTTGAGCAGCACAGGTCACTGATTGGTGCAGCTCTCCTGTCAATCATTCACACACTCACACAGAGACCGTGGTGCCTTCAGGGACAGTCGGGGGATTAGTGTCTCGTTAAAGTTCACCTCTACAGTAAGAGATCGAAGAGATGCTGAGACCGTCTGTCAATCAACGCAACCTTTATTATTATATATCATATCTTTAAAATAGTTAATATATTTAATATAGTTTATATCTTTAATATAGTTTCATGTTTGGCGGTTCGGGACTCTAAGGGGGGTTTGGGGGTTCGGGTCTCTAATGAGGGTTTGGGGATTCGGGTCTCTAATGAGGGTTAGGGGGTTCGAGTGATAGCAGAGGTTATTCACCCGGTATAAGCGGCGTGTTTTTAAAGACCCGGGTGCAGCTCGGTGTAAACGTTGATAAGAAGAGGAACATGAACTCTGTTAGAGTAAACAGAAAAATGAGTTCCTGGAATCTCTTATTTACTCAACTTTCATAACACAAACTGTTCGTCCATGAGAGTAGTAGAGCATGTACGAGTATATAAGAAGACCAGTCCTTTAGTCTCACCTGAACATACCTGAACACCTCTGTCCTTTAGTCTCACCTGAACACACTGAACACCCTCCAGTCCTTTAGTCTCACCTGAACACACCTGAACACCCTCCAGTCCTTTAGTCTCACCTGAACACACCTGAACACCCTCCTGTCCTTTAGTCTCACCTGAACACACCTGAACACCCTCCTGTCCTTTAGTCTCACCTGAACACCAGAACACCCTCCAGTCCTTTAGTCTCACCTGACACACCAAACACCCTCATGTCCTTTAGTCTCACCTGAACACACCTGAACACCTCATGTCCTTTAGTCTCACCTGAACACACCTGAACACCTCCTGTCCTGTCCACCTGAACACACCTGAACACCTCCGTCCTTTAGTCTCACCTGAACACCCTCATGTCCTTTAGTCTCACCTGAAAGACACCTGAACACCCTCCTGTCCTGTCTCACCTGAACACACCTGAACACCTCCGGTCCTTTAGTCTCACCTGAACACCCTCATGTCCTTTAGTCTCACCTGAAAGACACCTGAACACCCTCCTGTCCTGTCTCACCTGAACACACCTGAACACCCTCCGGTCCTTTAGTCTCACCTGAACACCTTCATGTCCTTTAGTCTCACCTGAAAGACACCTGAACATCCTCCTGTCCTGTCTCACCTGAACACACCTGAACACCTTCATGTCCTTTAGTCTCACCTGAACACCCTCCTGTCCTTTAGTCTCACCTGAACACACCTGAACACCCTCATGTCCTTTAGTCTCACCTGAACACCTGAACACCCTCCGGTCCTTTAGTCTCACCTGAACACACCTGAACACCCTCCTGTCCTGTCTCACACCTGAACACCCTCCGGTCCTTTAGTCTCACCTGAACACACCTGAACACCCTCCTGTCCTTTAGTCAGATCTGAACACACCTGAACACCCTCCTGTCCTGTCTCACACCTGAACACCCTCCTGTCCTGTCTCACACCTGAACACCCTCCGGTCCTTTAGTCTCACCTGAACACCCTCATGTCCTTTAGTCACACCTGAACACACCTGAACACCCTCCTGTCCTTTAGTCTCACCTGAACACACCTGAACACCCTCCGGTCCTTTAGTCTCACCTGAACACACCAGAACACCCTCCAGTCCTTTAGTCTCACCTGAACACACCTGAACACCCTCATGTCCTTTAGTCTCACCTGAACACACCTGAACATCCTCCTGTCCTTTAGTCACACCTGAACACACCTGAACACCCTCCTGTCCTGTCTCACCTGAACACACCTGAACACCCTCCGGTCCTTTAGTCTCACCTGAACACCCTCATGTCCTTTAGTCTCACCTGAAAGACACCTGAACACCCTCATGTCCTTTAGTCTCACCTGAAAGACACCTGAACACCCTCATGTCCTTTAGTCTCACCTGAAAGACACCTGAACACCCTCCTGTCCTGTCTCACCTGAACACACCTGAACACCCTCCGGTCCTTTAGTCTCACCTGAACACCTTCATGTCCTTTAGTCTCACCTGAAAGACACCTGAACATCCTCCTGTCCTGTCTCACCTGAACACACCTGAACACCTTCATGTCCTTTAGTCTCACCTGAACACCCTCCTGTCCTTTAGTCTCACCTGAACACACCTGAACACCCTCATGTCCTTTAGTCTCACCTGAACACACCTGAACACCCTCCGGTCCTTTAGTCTCACCTGAACACACCTGAACACCCTCCTGTCCTGTCTCACACCTGAACACCCTCCGGTCCTTTAGTCTCACCTGAACACACCTGAACACCCTCCTGTCCTTTAGTCAGATCTGAACATACCTGAACACCCTCCTCTCCTGTCTCACACCTGAACACCCTCCGGTCCTTTAGTCTCACCTGAACACCCTCATGTCCTTTAGTCACACCTGAACACACCTGAACACCCTCCGGTCCTTTAGTCTCACCTGAACACACCTGAACACCCTCCGGTCCTTTAGTCTCACCTGAACACACCTGAACACCCTCCGGTCCTTTAGTCTCACCTGAACACGCCTGAACACCCTTCTGTCCTGTCTCACTTGAACACACCTGAACACCCTCCAGTCCTTTAGTCTCACCTGAACACACCTGAACACCCTCCGGTCCTGTGGCTCCAGCAGCTGCTCTGTTAACTCACCTGCTGTCCTGTTTCATAACCTCCCAGCGGGACAAACAGGCAGCAGACGTCTGGCCCAGCTGGCAGCTCAAACACACTTTCTGTTTTCCTACAGAGCATGGAGCCATGACGCCCCCTGGTGAACAGACCAGGAAACACACACACCACAGCTCCTCTATGAAACAGTGAAACTAGCGCCGTCACATCGATGCTTTTCATGAGAACGTTTCAGACTTCTCTGTCAGTAGTTGTGTGTGTGTGGTGTGTGTTGTGTGTGCGTATGTGTGTGTGTGTGTGTGTGTGTGTGTGTGTGTGTGTGTGTGTGTGTGTTATTCTGCATTCAGCATGTTTTCCCTCCAAATTTCTTCCCCCACCCTCTCTTCCTCCCTGCAGTGTGTGAGGCAGAATAATAAGAATTTAAATTTAAAGGAGAGATGTGGAAACAATCCAGAGATCTGCTGTTTTCAGCGTGCTCACTGACCACACACACACACACACAACACACAGTCCGTTGGTATTAACTCATCCATTCATACACATTCAAACACTGATGTTAATCTCATATCTTCCAGTAAAGGGTTCAGAGTCTTGCCACAGGATGCATCAACATGTGAGTGAAGGAGCTGGGGATCAGGACCTTTAGATTGAGAAATGAGATGCACTGAGCCATAGCCAGCCACAAACACAGATAAGCGATAGATGTTGTTTTGTCTATAAAATAAAGTTTTTACTAAAGTTATAGAAGTCTGACTTTAACTCTCTGTGGAGTGAAAACATGAAGACAAAGTTCAAACTGATCACTAAACATAACGACACACTGCACTGTAAAACATTTCTCTTTACATAACTGAGTAAACAATAAGCTGTTTACATGGTTTACACACACACACACACACACACACACACACACACACACACACACACACACACACACACACACACACACACACACACACATACACACACACAAACAGCTCTGTGTGGTCACACCCCTCAGACATGCCTCTATTTAGTCCTCACAAAACACACACAGTGCACACAAAGAGAGAGCAGATGAAGGTCCTCCTCCTCCTCCTCCTCCTCCTCTCTGCTCCTCTCCTC